AAGGAGTGTGAAATAAGTAAGTTGCATTTGATATATTTATATATATGTACATATACTATATGTATTAGTAACTACTTAACTATAAATCAGATGGCAAAATCATTCCGGCCGGTACAAATATAGGAATTTCGCCATTGCTTTTGGGTCGACGTGAGGATCTCTTCAGTGAGCCAAATACGTTTAAGCCTGAGCGTTTTGACGTCGTAACGAGTGCAGAGAAACTCAATCCTTATGCCTACATTCCCTTCTCGGCTGGCCCGCGCAACTGCATTGGTCAGAAATTTGCCGTACTCGAAATTAAAGCGATAGCGGCGAACGTTTTGCGACATTATGAAGTTGAATTTGTTGGAAATGCGGAGGAGCCACCAGTGCTTATTGCTGAGCTGATCCTTCGCACCAAGGATCCACTCATGTTTAAGCTCAAGCAGCGAATCCTCTAATTTATTTCACATATATGTATACATTTTCCGTTATGATTTTGCAAATGGAGATGTGTGTATTCAATAAATACGTCTAATCTATCGATAAAGTCGAGTAATTATCGTAACAATGCAGTGTCTGATGTGGAAAAGTGCCTCACTGGGAGAAAGGGAGATTGTGAGAAACAAGCATGCATATTGATATTCCATTTTAAATAAAAATAGTTTAAATACACAATGAATTGGTTTCGCCAAATATAAAGTTTTTTTTAATGCCGACAGAATGATGAATCATTTATACATATTATAGTTTCCTTGCAACGCCTCATTTGCCTTCAAACAAAATTGATTGATTCCTTAGTTGAGTGTTTAGCAATGTGGAACTAAAACATAAAATTGATCAAATCAATTTTTAAATTGGCGAAAGGGAAGCAAACCAACAAAAACTATATCGATATATGTATGTATGTATGGATGGAGCTTAATATCGTTGAAGTTAATTAATCAGACTCCGGTGGGTCTTCCTTGCTGACTTGATCATGAATGGCATAACAGAGTGTCTCCAGAAAGGCTGGATCCATTTCACGAATAATGCTGAGCGCCGAGCTCAGTAAATTCGAATTGCGGATTAGGCGGCGTTGGTCGCTCTCTTTAGGATTAGGGTTGCTCGAGTTAGGTCGGGTACTGGCAAGGGCTGCCATGCGCATATAGGGAGCCTGTTGACGTGCAACGGCGTCAATGGCATCTTTACGGATTTGGGCAACCACTGTAGAAGCAGCTGCTGCCGCGGCTGCTGTGGCTACTCGAGCTTGTTGGTGGGCATGCTCCTGCAAATGCTTCGCCGTGCGACGATGCATTATATTGTCATCTTTGGAACGGTGTTGTTGCACCGTTGGACGACGTGCAAAAATCTGGTCGTCTTGTGTGCGGCGAATGCGTTGCTGATGATAGAGATGATCGTCCTGCGATCGGCGGCCAAGTAGAAAAATATCATCTGAAAGCCGACCAATTAGCTTTCTGTCCAGCCTGCGGGCAGGCAGGTCATCACTCCTAGCACCATGCGGTATGCTCATCATCTTTCGAAAACTGGGCGGCTGTGACTGTGAACATGGCCTCATGCCCATTGCCATTAATCTACTCGACGGCCGCTTTACCGCCACAGGCGGCAGCAAGTGTAGGTCTTTCATTTCCGGTTGTGTATCTCGAATCACTTTGTTTGACTTAGAGTTGCTCAACTTTATTTCCAGCTCACATCTTTCACGTTCCACGCGTAGCGCTTTGCTGGCAATGCGCTTAAACTTCTTCAGTTGCAGCGATTTGTTCCGATTTGCCATGTTTGGGCTGCAATATATATAAAAGTTTAACGAAAATAAATATATATATTATAAGATGTATCCTGCCATCCAAAAATTTCAATTGTTGAACCTGACCAAGAAGCAAAATTCATAATTCCTTAAAATATGAATTATTTCCCCAATTTGATGCCGCCACATACATAATTCAATTTGAATATCGATTATTTCCCCAATCTGATGCTGCCACATCTCAAAGAGATTTACTCGATAGGCAGCTTTATTTACTCATTAATATATTCATAATTAATTGAAAGTCGGCACACCAAATTTTTGGTAGCAAAACGCTCGAGACGATGTCAAACAAATTATAAACTGATCATAAGGCATCTGGCGAACAAGAGTTATTCATACATACACCCACATCATGTACCAATCTGCATTGTCCTTTCATATAAGAGTTAAAATTATTATTTAATCTTGTATATCGACTATTGCGGGCTTGTGATGGTCCTATTGGTAAGCAATAACTACTCGATTAATAATGTTACATTTTTTAAACAATAAAGTATTGTAAAAAAATGGCAAATAAAGTGGAGCGCGTAAAAAACTATTTAGCTCTAGAACATTTTTGCACATTTTCTGAATGTTACTCAAATTTGAATATCACATTTAATCCGATTGTATTGCCACCTGCCATCAAAGTTAATTATTCGATTGACAGCTGTAAACGATACACGATAGATTCAGTTGCTTGCAACAATCAAAGCGGAACACAGTAAGAAGCGCGAAGTACTTGGTGTCCTATTAAATAAAACATGTCTTTTGCTGACGATAATCCGGTTGACTTTGATATGGAAATGTCGGTAAATGAGGATTTGTTGGGCGAAGAGCAGGAAGAGACCGACCAAACTAGCTCTGATCTAGCAGAAATAACAAACCTGATCAAAGAATGCGCTACGCAATGTCTAAACTATACGGTAAATTTGCGATATTCCTCTACATTTGTAAATCTAACAGTTGTTTCGCAGGAATCTAGTAATAGAAAACTGAGTGAATTAATTACTGCTGAGCAAAACAATTGCTCAAAAATAGTGGAAGATAAATTTGGATTGATGTGTGCGCTTAATCAACCAGTTAACATCAATGTTTCAACGGCCATGAAAATATGCGCTATGCACAAAGAACAGTTGCAAAAATTGAACCGTTTGTTCAAGGCAGAGGATGAATGTGCACATGCATATGCCACACACTGTACCGAGGCCATCAAGGCCACTGAAGCGAATGCCCTCAAAGAGGGATTCGACGATTACACCGAAATGGTAAGTGTGAAAAGCACATCTTTAAAATGTTGCATATGAAAAGTAAACTTTTTTGTCTAGCCTCACGCCATGTTGGTTGATCGCATATTGGAAATGAAAAATCAAATAGAAACCATAAAATCGAAAACTGAAAGTTTGAAAGCTAAGTATAAGAAGCGTTTGGCGGAACATCAAGCCGAATTCAATTCACTTTTAAAGGAGACAGCTGCTCTTGAGAAAATTGAATTAGAGTCAATGTAAACGGGTTTAACGGTTATAGTCGGCAATAATTTAGAAATTAAAATATTAATATACTTGTCTGCCATTCCAGCGAGGTCGGACAGGGATTTGAAGTCCAAGTTCGTTGAAATAGGAAAGGGCTATAATAATTTTATTCTATTATACTTTTTTTTTCACACACAATTTCCAAACGTTCTATACATGTCTCAAGATATACTACAATAATAAAGATGTCCCCCGTACATGACTTACTATTCAAATGTTACTGTTTATTTCTCGACATTGCTGATGTGGCAACGCCGTAACCGTCAACAGTCTTGATGAGACAAATCAAAACAGCTGTTGCGTGTTATCGAAAGGCGTTCTGGCACATTGCTGACTTGGTAATGTTCCATTGGCCATTTTTGGGTTATTAGCTTTAATTGCGAAATTGCTTAGACTAGTTAACGAAATTCTGTAAACATGGACGAGCTGTCACGCCAATGCATGGAGGACTGGCACGTGCGACCGCCTAGCGATGTGCGCACAACGTAAGTGGATAATTTCATCACGATAATCGCCATTGATCCACTTTCTATGTGTAGGAATGTTCAGGCGCCACCAAAATCGGTGCCGGATAACAAATCCCGCAAGACGGAGCTGCACGTGCTGCGGCTCAGCGATGAGTCACAACAACTGACAATGGACACATTGCGCACCATACACGGACCGGACTTCAAGCTCGATGACATCGCCAAATACAAGGATCGGGGGCGTGGCGGGAAAGGTATTAAGCATGCCTACTGGGAGGATCGCGGTACACTCCAAGTGCAAAGTGTTCAAGGTGTTAGTGCGACGTCCAGCAGCACAGCCGATGACGACCGTTTGCGTCGCTATGCACTGCTCAAGCTGGAGAACTATGGCTTCCATCCTGCTCATTGCCTAGAAGCGTATGAGCATTGCTCACACGATACGGAAGCAGCGCTGCTGTTGCTGTATAAACGCTATATGCGCGTGCCTGCCAATGAAATCCTGGAGCTAGAGGCACACGACGAGGCGAGTCTGCTGGATATGCGAGCCGACGAGAAGGAAGCTCTGCAGTCCATCTACGACAAGGCATTCGAGGAGCGTGAATATAACAGCGTTTGGAATCTTAAGTTTAAGATTGAACATCTGCTGGCGCACAGCCCATCGGAGGTGCGCAAGGCGCGGGAAGCAGTGCTTGCGGCAGCCGCTGCCGTTCGCCAAGCGGCATTGGACAAGAAGAAGAAGGCGCCGCAACGTTGTCGCAATTTTGATCGTGATGGCACGTGTAAATTTGGACCCAAATGCCGATTTGCCCATGTGCCAGCACAGCCCGAGGTGACGGGGACACCGGAGCGCAAGCGTGCCGACAATCTGGATGAGAACGAGAATGAGCAGTGGTTCCACGTGGAGGTGCGTTTTCCGCCGGGCAGTCGTTATCCATACGAAGCGCCATACATCTACCTCAAGACCACCTGCCACGATATACCACATGAGCTGCGCTTGCGCTTCGCTCGCCGTCTGTACCAGGAGGCGCGCCAAATTTGCCGAGACGGCATTCCCTGCATCTACAGCGTATGTGAGATGCTGCAAACGGATGAGGGTCTGGCCGGCAGCCTGGACACCACCCGTTTCCCTTCGCCCAAGCATTCGCTCTTCCACGAAGAGCCGGCAAATGGCGCTGATCAAGATGCCAACGAGGGGGCAGCGGCAAAGCCGCGTCCCAGCCACTACGAGCGCGGACAAACGTCGCGCAACGATGGCGGCACTTATCAGCGGAATGCCGCCGCATTGGCATCTATGAATCGCAACCTGTTGAAGCAGTTCAACGACCGCCGGCGCGAAAGTAGCTACATCAAGTCGATCGAGGGCCGCAGGAAGCTGCCTGCCTTTGCCGAAATCGAGCGCATTATGGCGCTCATCAGGAGCAACCAGGTGGTTGTCATTTCAGGCGAGACCGGCTGTGGCAAGAGCACCCAAGTGCCGCAGTTCATATTGGACGATTGGTTCTTCCAGGCCTGCAAGGCTACATCTGAAGACATGCCCCATGTAGAGATTATCTGTACGCAGCCGCGTCGACTCTCGGCTATCGGTGTGGCTGAGCGTGTGGCCGCCGAGCGTGTGGATCGCATTGGCCGGCTGGTTGGCTATCAGATACGGCTTGAGAACAAGATCTCGGAAAGCACGAGGCTGACCTTCTGCACCACTGGCATACTGTTGCGACGCCTGTCCTCCGATCCGCTGCTAACCAACGTTAGCCATGTGATTGTGGACGAAGTGCACGAGCGATCGCAGGACTCAGATTTCCTGTTGCTTATACTCAAGAATATATTGCGGGAACGCAAGGATCTTAAAGTGATACTCATGTCCGCCACGTTGAATGCGTCGCTCTTTTCCAATTACTTTGGCGGCGCACCTGTGCTGGATATACCGGGACGTACGTTTCCAGTGGAACAGCTCTTCCTTGAGGATATACTGGATGCTTGTGATTTTGTTATGGAATGCGACACGAAGTTCTGTCGCAAGCTCAAGAAGAAGGACCAGGAGGTGCTGGAAAGTGTGCTGGAATTCGCCGATCTCCAGGCCAGCAGTGAGCCGCCTGGCCCCAAGATCAAGGACGAGAATCTGACGCTAGCCGAGACCTACGCCCGCTATTCGGGTAAGCTACGTAACTAATCGACCATCAGACTAAACTCCCAATTCGTATCCATTTTCAGACTACAGCAAGACGACATGCAAGAGCATCTACCTGATGGAGCCAATGATGATCAATCCAGATCTAATTGAGTCTGTGCTCAAATACATTGTGGAGGGCGATCATCATTGGCCGCGTGAGGGCAGCATCCTCATCTTTCTGCCCGGCTTTCAGGAGATACAAGCGGTGCTCAATGCGCTGCAGGACAGCGCAGTGGGCCCGCGTTCTGGAAAGTATTTGCTCATCCCATTGCATTCAGCCTTGTCCAGCGAAGATCAGGCGATGGTCTTCAAGCGTGCACCGCCGGGAAAACGAAAAATTGTGCTCAGCACGAATATAGCCGAGACATCTGTCACGATCGATGATTGCGTCTTTGTCATCGACTGCGGCCTCATGAAGGAGAAGGGCTTCGACTCGAACCGGAATATGGAATCGTTAGATCTGGTCTGGGTGTCGCGCGCCAATGCCAAACAGCGCAAAGGCCGAGCCGGCCGTGTGATGCCCGGCGTGTGCATCCATTTGTATACCCGCTATCGATATGAGCATCACATATTGGCCCAGCCGGTGCCCGAGATACAGCGAGTGCCGCTCGAGCAGATTGTGCTACGCATCAAGACGCTGTCAATGTTCGCCTCGCGCAATACCCTCTCCGTGCTGCTCGAAACACTGGATGCGCCCAAGGAGGACAGCGTGCAGGGCGCGCTGATGCGATTGCGAGATGTCGGCGCCTTGGACATCGACGATCAGCTAACGCCACTTGGCCACCATTTGGCCGCGTTGCCCGTGGACGTGCGCATTGGCAAACTGATGCTCTACGGCGCCATCTTCCAGTGCCTGGACAGCGTGCTCACCATCGCCGCCTGCCTGAGCAACAAATCGCCGTTCGTCAGTCCGCTGAACAAGCGCGACGAGGCCGACAAACGCAAGCGACAATTCGCGCTCGATCACAGCGACCATCTGACCGTGCTGAATGCTTATCGAGTAAGTTAAAAGAACACGGAAGACACTCAATGAACATGCATAGGCAAGGCTAATCAATCAAGTATACTTTGGTGCGATATGGACACATGTCGATCAGATCGTCAGTCGATCCATAATCGGGAAAGGCAAAACAGTCATATAGCTAGCATGTTAATTAATCGATCTATTAGCTCATCGATCAATCAATCAGTCGATCAGTCTATACCTAAGAAAGTCAGTAGATCAATCACTAAACAGTCTAAAATCAATCAGTCAGTCAGTCAGTTGACTCTTATTTAACGTCTTCTCCTCTTGCCTCGTCCTCGCAGAAATGGCTCGCTGTAGCGAAACGTGGACATTATGGAGCCAGTCGAAATTATGCGAGTACGAACTACCTGTCAATCAACACGCTGGAGATGATTGCAGATCTCAAGTATCAGTATCTGGAGTTGCTCGTCTCGATTGGATTTGTGCCGGTGAATGTGCCACGACGCAGGCCGAATAGCAGCGACAATGTACTCCAGCTAACAGGTGAATAGCTAACTACCCTGATCCTCATCCAGTTGATGTACTTATGCTCTGTTGCTTCAGGTCACGAACAGAACGTGAACGGCGAGAACAATCGACTGCTGACATCGCTGCTCTGTGCTGCACTCTATCCGAATATTGTGAAGATCATGACACCGGATCGCGTCTATATACAGACAGCCGGTGGCGCAGTGCCGCGCGAGCCCGGCCATCAGGATTTGCGCTTTAAGACGCGCGGCGATGGCTATGTACGCATCCACCCGTCCTCTGTCAACTCACAGGTCGCTGTCTTCCAGGCCCCGTTCCTTGTCTACCAGGAGAAGGTGTGCACCAGCTCCATTTACATACGCGACTGCTCAATGCTGCCCCTGATTGCCCTGGTCCTGTTTGCCGGCTCCGATTTCAAGGTGGAGCTCCATGATGGTGACTTCCTGTTTCTACTCGAGAGCGGCTGGATCATCGTGAAGGCGCACAACCATGAGACAGCTGAGCTGATCCAATGTATGCGCACCGAACTGATCAAGCTGCTCGAGGAGAAGATACGCGATCCGTGCCTCAATTTGTTGCACCACAAGAATGGCTGCAAGATCATTGCGAACATTGTGCATCTAATAAGCAACAACTATTAATGTCTAATGCATTAGCCGCTCATTGTTCCGTACATTCAGTCTTTTTGTATCACATCAGCCAAGCCAATAGCAAAGCTTATACTATTTTATAATGCGAGTACAATACAATTAAACAAATTTATACAGCCAAATGGAATTACAATGTTTTATCAATCAATCAAACAATCACAGTCAGTCAATCATTCAATTGAACAGCATGTCATACAAATGGAAAAGATAATCTCTGACGGAGAGAGAAAGAGCTACGTAAAGCAGTTCGTGCAAGAGAGGGAGATAGATAGATACTATAGATACTWTACGTACTAGATGACTATCGAGTGTATATTTATTAGCTTTACAGCTATAAAACTTGTTATCATGTGAATCACATAGAAAGGAAACAAACTTTCCACGTTGCATACACAAATACCTTATATAGATAAATATAAAAAAATATATGTTAAGCCAGATGTACATATATGTATATATTTTAAGCCATCTAAGCCTATGAAAATCGCAAAGGGGTTTTCTATAATCTGCTCAAAAAGAAATGAGAATTTAAAACGGCTCCACCTGACTGACCAATACTTGTTCAAGGACTAGCAATTAAACAAAAAATATGAGCATAATGTCTTCTCATATAATTGATACAAGATCTAGCTATATTACCGAGCTCAAGGAGCCGATCGCAAATCTCCAAGATTTGTGTTAAAAAAGAAAAATAATAAAGCACATTTTTTTAAATAAAACTAAATAAAAAAAAAAATAGA